ACATACATACATACATACATACATACATACATACATACATACATACATACATACATACATACATACATACATACATACATACATACATACATACATACATACATACATACATACATACATACATACATACATACATACATACATACATATATATATATATATATATATATATATATATATATATATGTTGGGTTTGTGGAGGCTTGGGCTTGACTTTTGGTCTGGCCCATTTTACGAAACCCTAGATGCACTCTTCCTATATATATTGCATACTTGTACTTGTTATTGGCACCACAAGTGAAATAAGAAATTCCTCCTGTTGTAGCCGTGGATTAGGGAAACCGAACCACGTTAAATTCTTGTGTGTCGTTTGTGTTCTGTTTCTCTCGTTTCTCGCAGATTATTTGTGTGTGTTGTGTGTTTTTATTCCCAACAAGTGGTATCAGAGCCTGGTGCGTTCAACACGAGCACAAATTGCGAGAAAATTTGTCACCTAGGGTTTTTCGGATCTGGGTGTGTGACAGATCTGATAAGGAGCCGTTGCCCCCGTCAGCCGCGCAGGAGCAGCCGCTGATCCGTCCAGGCGCGACCGCGGAGGAATCATCCCACAACCGGACGTCGCCATCGCTGAAGGAGAAGTGATTCTGTCGAGCGAGACTGCCGCCGGGTTGAGGAGCCGCCGCCGCCGCTGAGTTGAGGAATTCGCCGCCCCATCGTTCGGATCACAGAGAAGGTGCCGCCGCCCTCCGTCCAGCCGTCAACCGCCGTGTGTGAGCAGGTGTCGTCCGACCGCTCACTGAGTAGCCACCTTCGTCCTGCCAGAGAGCCGTCGCCATCCGCAGATTTGTCGCTGTCTAGAGAAGGTGTAGTCGCTGACCCAAGCCGCCGCTGAGGAGTCGTCCAGATTGCCGCTGCGGTTACCCAGTATTTCCAGCCGCCGTTTCCTGCGAAGAAGAAGAGGCCACCGAAAAAAACAAAAGGACAAAAGCAAAAACAAGGGTTTTTTTTGGGCAGGTACGAAACTTTGGCAGAAAGGAAAAAAAGGGGAAGAAAGGCAAGTGGGCTATCCTTTTCTTATTGGGCTTTTATCAGATTTGGGCCGTAAATTTCCTTGTTGGTGATTATTGGACCTGTTTTTGTTTTGGCTAATTTAATTGGTGTGGTGGGCCTGATTTTTTGAGGAAAAATTACCAAGATCTGAAATTATTTGTACAGGGTATCTCATCTAGTTGTTTGAGATGGCAGAAGACGGAAAGTTTCGAATTGAGAAGTTCGATGGTACGGATTTCAGTTGGTGGAAGATGCAAATTGAAGATTTGCTGGTTCAGAAAGATTTGGACATAGTTTTGGGTGACAAGCCAGAAAAAATGTCGGATGCAGATTGGGCAAGTTTGGATCGGAAAGCTATGTCAGTGATCTGTCTCTCGTTGACCAAGAATGTTGCGTTCAACATTCTGAAGGAGAAGACAGCGAAGGGAATTATGGAAGCGCTGTCTAACATGTACGAGAAGCCATCTGCTGCTAACAAAGTTTTTCTGATAAGAGAGCTGGTGAACACAAAAATGAAAGAAGGCACTTCAGTTACCGAGCATATCAACAAGTTGAATTCGATCTTAGCCAGACACTTGTCAGTGGGCATTAAGTTCGATGATGAAGTTCAAGCTTTACTACTGCTATCGTCTTTACCTGATAGTTGGTCCGGAACGGTTACAGCAGTTACCGGTTCAGTGGGACCCGATGGATTCACCTTTGATCAGATTCGAGATCTCGTTCTTGGCGAGGACGTCAGAAGAAAGAGTTCCGGGGAATCATCTGGTGAATTGCTTCATGTTGGTAGAGGCAGAAGAAATAGCAGATGTAGTGGGAGCAGGAACAGACAAAGGAGTCAGTCGAAGACTCGTGACAGCTCAGGTGTAACGTGCTCGAAGTGCAAGGAGGTAGGGCATTTTAGGAATCAATGTCCGAATGATAAGAAAGTAAACATTGCTCAAGGCTCTGCGAGTGACGAGGAGGTCGCTCTGACTTGCTGTGAGGAAAGCAATGTGGATTCCTGGGTCATGGATTCTGGTGCTTCATTTCATGCTACCCACAGTGGTGAAGCATTGCAGAATCTAGTTTTTGGAGACTTTGGAAAGGTACGACTAGCAGACGACAGAGCTCTTGAGGTGACGGGCATGGGTGACATGGTGTTGAAGACCCTAGTCGGTTTCTGGACTTTGAAGGATGTCAGAGTGGTTCCAGCCTTGAAGAAAAGTTTGATTTCTGTCAGGCAGTTGGACGAACAGGGACACGAGGTGAAGTTCAGAGATGGGCCGTGGAAGGTCATAAAGGGAAATCTTGTCATGGCCCGCGGAAGAAAGAGTGGTTCGCTGTATATGGTCGAGTTACCATCTGAGGGAGTGACCGTCCCAGTTCAGAAGAAAAACGAAGTCCGGTTCACAGAGTCTCGTGGGCAGAATAAGGTTGTCTGTGCAAGAGAGAAACCTAGAGCCACTGGTCAGACTCAGGATGAACGAGCGTGGAAAGGTTCAAGGAGGCCAGTCAGAGGTATTTGTGGCAGTGAGAGCTCAAGAGGCGCTTCAGCCAAGTTGCCTAGAAGACAGTGGGTTAGGAGAACCAGTATTCCAGCTGTTGGAACATCTCCAGAAAATTTCTTGCTGAGTATGGAGAGTGTTTGTTCTCAGGATGTTCCAGGATCCGGCAGTGTGCGTCTGCAGTGGGAGCCGGTAGGGACCGAGGACGAGTCAGGGGCAGATTTTGCCGTGACTGATGTGTTGGAGCTTGGGAGAGCTTCAACGGGCCTTTCAGTTGTCTGATGATAGGGCCGCTGCAACAGGAGAGCTGAGGAAGATTACTCGATGTACAGG